GGAATGACCTGCTGGGTGGTACGGAAGTGGAAAGGGATCTTGGAGTCCTAGTGGACTGTAAGATAAACATGAGTCAGCAGTGTGACGAAGCCATCAGAAAAGCTAACGGCACTTTATCGTGCATCAGCAGATGCATGACGAATAGATCCAAGGAGGTGATACTTCCCCTCTATCGGGCGCTGGTCAGACCGCAGTTGGAGTACTGCGTGCAATTCTGGGCACCGCACTTCAAGAGGGATGCGGATAACCTGGAGAGGGTCCAGAGAAGGGCCACTCGTATGGTTAAGGGCCTACAGACCAAGCCTTACGAGGAGAGACTAGAGAAACTGGATCTATTCAGCCTCCGCAAGAGAAGGTTGAGAGGCGACCTTGTGGCTGCCTATAAGTTCATCACGGGGGCACAGAAGGGAATTGGTGAGGTTTTATTCACCAAGGTGCCCCTGGGGGTTACAAGAAATAATGGCCACAAGCTAGCAGAGAGCAGATTTAGACTGGACATTAGGAAGAACTTCTTCACAGTTAGAGTGGCCAAGGTCTGGAATGGGCTCCCAAGGGAGGTGGTGCTCTCCCCTACCCTGGGGGTCTTCAAGAGGAGGTTAGATGAGTATCTAGCTGGGGTCATCTAGACCCAGCTCTCTTTCCTGCCTATGCAGGGGGTCGGACTCGATGATCTATTGAGGTGCCTTCCGACCCTAACATCTATGAATCTATGAATAAGATCCCAGTGGGGCAAGTTGAAGAGATACAGACTTGTTCATGGTGTCCACTAAACACACTCATTAAAAGGAGAGAGTATAAGTGTGTTTCTGTTCTGTTCAGTTAAACTGTTTCACTAACCAGTACTGAACCTTCCTTAGCCTGATGAAGGGTTTTTGAACCCGAAAGCTTGCTTAATAACTTTTCTCCAACTATTTGCGTTGGTCTAATAAAAGATATCAAATTCACCCAAGGAACCTTGTCTGCCTCTGTCCTTAGACCAACACGGCTACAACCTAAACCGCTGCAGACATGAGGACTAGAGTTTGAGTAGATTTTATGGCCTTAATCCAGGTACCAAATTTCTGCTGATTTTGAATATTCAGGAGTCTCCCCTATATGTTCATATAAAGAGAACTGTTAATTCTGAAGACATCTAGAACAGGTCTGTCCAACTGGCAGCCGACAAGGGGTTAAGTTGTGGGTCTCAGGTTCCTGCCTGGCCACTCTTGCGATCTATGGCTGTGACTGCAATAGCAGCTAGTCTCCACCTTCCCACCCCCCTTTCCCTCAACCACTCTTGTTGCAGCTTTTCTGCCTGTCAGGGGTTGCCCAGCCCCCTGCTGCTTAGAAGTTGGGTAGCCCTGATCTAGAAGGTGCAGTCAAAATATATTTGGACAAATACTGTTTTGAGACACCATACAAGCTTAAGTAGTTTTGAAAATTTTATTGTAAAATTTCGCACAAAAACCCTTTCACAACCCCCCTGAACCTTTCTGTTGGTGTGTTCATGGAAGTGCTGGGTTGCTTTAAGTCTGTTGCATTTTAAAACTATGAAGCTTGAATCAGTTCTAGAAGTCTTTATTCATATGGTAATTCCACTGAAACAAGTAAACTTGTATTCCAGAAGTTTAAAGGATCAACTGTTCTTGCATACCTACAGTTCAGTTGGTTTATGGCTTTCTGCTGGACAGAGGTTTGTGTGAAGTGGGTAGGCATTTCAGTGGTGACTCTTCACATCAGAAGTAATTCGTGTAATAAGCCAAATCAGTTTAAGTTTTACTACTGACAACTGTTCCAAATCCATTATCAAGAGATTGTATTGGAGAGGTTGTATGGTACCTCATATCTGCACTGCAACTGACTGTTACTCCTGATAGTGCCATAGGTAGTCAGATGATGCAAGATGCTTGGAGGCCAAGCACAGATTAGGATGGTTTATCAGCTAGGTCATGCTGATCAAAATACCTGTTGGAGAGAGACAAGTGAAATATATTGGTCTTTCAAAGGCAAATTAGAATGTTTTTTACATGTTTTTCCCTTATTTTACAGTATATTTATTGTCAAGGGGAGTATTAAAAACACTCATTCCAAAATACTTGTTTTCCTATGAATAGCATCAGGTTTACTCAAAGACCAGTAGCTGATCATCAGGACATTAGAAAAACCCCAGTTTTTGGAGGGAGTTGATACATGCTTGTTTTAGCAGCACCAAGGCAAGACTAGATCCTTTCAGTAGAGCAAACGTAGATTACAGTATACAAAAGCTTGGATTGGTTTTCTATGCCTGGAAAGAATATAGATTATGAGAACATATGTACATACGTACATACAACATATAATGCAAAAAGTCATTGTAACTTTTATTTAGATATCTAATTTGCAGTACCTGCTAACCAAACAGATTAGCAAATTTAGAGCA